TTCATACATATTTAGAAATACGTGACTCGCCAGCCAGCCACAATTGTCTTAGACCAAGAACTGTGCTGTCAACATTGCGTGCAAGAACTGTGCTGTCAACATTATGTGCAAGAACTGTGCTGTCAACATTACATTGCTGTCTATTGCAAGAACTGTGCTGTCAACATTGTGTGCAAGAACTGTGCTGTCAACAACATTACGTGCAACATTACGTGCAAGAACTGTGATGTCAACATTACGTGCAAGAACTGTGCTGTCAACATTACGCGCATGAACTGTGCATTTTGCTTACCACTCAATAGTTAGCAGAGGTGCTAGATGGCCTTGTTGTAGTTTGTCAAGAGCGGCAGGTTTGAAGCAGTCATAGACAGTCTTCGGTGGCGAGAAAGTAGTTTATGCCTGTATTGGTCTTGATGTTGTATGTTGGTGCTATGTTAGTGGTTTTGTAGAATGTAGAGACAGTCAAAGGTGACAATCTGTGCCTCACCCGCATTTATAGTGCACTGTCAGCACCCACAGACAGTGCACCATTCTGGCAGACTGACTGAGCTGCTCTGTGTACTGTACTAGCCAATCACGGTAACATTGTAAGTCGGTACTCGGTGGGTGAATCTGAAGGCCAGGTTCGAAACCTATCCCTGCCTCGTCTACGGAGCCAACACCGTACTGGTCCTCGGGGTTGCATTCCACAACAATATGGTTGACTTACACAATCACGAGGCCCCGCGGTGGTCGGCGTGTATAAAGAGGAAGAAGGTTTAGAAGAGAGAGAGAGAGGGTGCGCCTACAGTCATGAAACATCCACAAAAGGTGATCTGCCAGCATCGCACCTCTCACGAAACAAAGAATGAAACACAAAATATTTCGAATATTAGTCCCCCCTGTAAAGCTGTATAGAAAACTATGACCGCGACGACCTAAGGAGTGTGGGAGGAAGAACATGTAAATAGCATTTATTTCTTCTTAATTATAAATAGTCATAACCATGTTGTAGCTTATATAATATTACAATTTTATTAAAATTATGAAAGTAAACGTAAATCTTTCAAAATGTTTTCTATTTATTATACATATCTTTAAATTTTGTATAAAAACTTAAGTATTTTTATATCGCATTTATTTTTTTTATTTATATAAAATTCTCAGGTAGAGGAACTATCAGGCTTCAATTTCCGTAAAATTTTAAGTGTAAAACACAGAATTATAGAGATATGTTAATAACTAGCTGATCGGTCATCAGAAAATGGTGGTCGCTTGATTCTGTGACCTGAAGTAACAGTAGTCGGCAAGTAGAGGTCACTTTCCTATTGCGTACCCAATTCTGAGGCCATGCTCGTAGCTCGGGTGACCTCGGAAGTCATATGTATGCTCGTAGCCCGGGTGACCTCTTGGGCCATATGTATGCTCGTAGCTCGGGTGACCTCGGAAGTCATATGTATGCTCGTAGCCCGGGTGACCTCTGGGGCCATATGTATGCTCGTGTGACCTTGGGGGTCATGTGTATGCTCGTAGCTCGGGTGACCTCGGGGGTCATATGTATGTTCGTATGCAGACGAGGAGTTACAATAATGTGGCTGAAATATGTTGACCAAACCACACAATAGAAAGTGTAGGGACGACGACGTTTGAGAGAAGAACTCAAGAACCTTTACAGTCTCCGTGGTGTAGTGCAGTCTCCGTGGTGTAGTGGTAGGACACTCGCCTGGCGTTCCGTGAGCGCTATGTCATGGGTTCGTATCCTGGCCGGGGAGGATTTACTGGGCGCAAATCCTTAACTGTAGCCTCTGTTTAACGCAACAGTAAAATGTGTACTTGGATGAAAAAACGATTGTTCGCGGCTGGGATCGTATTCCAGGGACCTGCCCGAAACGCTACGCGTACTAGTGGCTGTACAAGAATGTAACAACTCTTGTATATATCTAAAAAAAAAAAAAAAAAAAAAAAAAAAAAAAAAAAAAAAACTGGAGAGAGAGAGGGAACCCTTCCTGGGGAGAGAAAGAGAACTCTTCCTGGGGAGAGAGAGTGAACTCTTCCTGGGGGGAGAGAGAGAGGGAACTCTTCCTGGGGGGGGGGGGGGAGAGGGACCTTTTCCTGGGAAGAGTTAGTGTGGTTCTTGCTAGGGAGGTCGCCGGGGGGTGGGGTAAGCTGTAGGGTAACATTAAGGCCTGAAACTCGCTGCTCGTGTGCTTCTTCACGTTCCAGTTTAAGGAGTAAGTACCTGTCTCCTCGGTCATTATATTATCACAATAAAGTTGCCTGAGGTGGGAGTTCTATTGCTGGGATGTATGAAATATATTAACTTTAAATGAATTGAAAAATATAATATTATTCCAAACTTACATTCCTGGTCTGTCATTAATAACTGTAGCTGTGTGGATTGTTTAGTAAACATCTTTGGTGTCTTTCTTGGATTAAATAATAACTACCCTCCCCCCCCCACCCTCAGTTAATTGAGAGATACCTAATGAATTTATGACGATTAACGAAACGCTCAACGAATTCATGGATATCCACAACCAGGGAATATTGATAACCATTTCCTATATGGCAAGAAATAGAGAGTAAAGTTTATCAATATTCCCTGGTTGTGGATATTCATAAATTTGTTGAGCGTTTCGTTAATCATCATAAATTTGTTCTCTTGGACGGTAGAGGGACGGTCTTGCTTCATGCAGGTCGGCGTTCAATCCTCGACCGTCCAGGTGGTTGGGCACGATTCCCTCCCCCCCCCCGGTCCCAGACCTAATTCTTTCCAAGTCCTATATTGTCGTAATGGCTGTTCGCTTACCTCTGATAGTTCCCTTTCCTTCCCTACCTAATTAACTGCGTACCTTGCGTTGATTTCGGGGCTCAACGTCCCCGCGGCCCGGTCCCTGACTTGGCGTAGACCACAGGGGGTTTGTACGTGCCCATAAGTACTTGTCCATCAGTACCTGCCCATCAGTGCTAATCAGTGACTACGGGAATGTAAGGTACACACATGCCTGAAATCCGCCTAAAGAGGACAGAAGACAGAAGCGGATTTCAGACAGAGATGTTTGGTGGATATTCTCGGTGGACTTCCCAAGAATTAACTTCGCCGTCTTCAACATGTGCGGGTTGATAAACGTCTCTCCAGTCATGAGTGGCTTGTTTTGTTTGTTTGTTTGTTTCCAATGAGACTCAAATGTAATACTTGCATTGTTGCTGTGCTTTGTTGCCTAAACCTCTGACGTTTTAGACCAGCTTCCTGGTGCCGAAAGAACTCCAAATCCTTCTTATATGTTGTGGATACTTTGTCTCTAAGTGACGTTTGAGTTTTGAATGTTTCAGAGATTCAACACCGAGGACAAATTGCACAAAACACATTGTGGCTTCTCGGTGCCATTGCTGGTCACTGTGGTGAAGCCAGGTTACAGATAATCTGAATATTTACTCTATTCTGCAATAGATATGAATTACTGTGAATATGAATTACTGATATAAGAAACACTATATACCAGATGTGCACAACATGAAGATAAAACAACCCTCCTTCTAATATATAGTAACACAATGTAACAATATTTGTTCCTGGGCAGTAAGTGATGTTTAGTAATTTCTAACGACTCCAAAGAATAGAAAATTGTTATTATTCACACCAGACTTTGCTTTTGTAACCAGAACAGTGATACTTTGAAATTTACATTTTTTCAATTAGAAAACGAGTGAATTTGTGTCTTTTCGTTTACAAAAAGTCTATATAATTTATTTATGAATGAAAATTAACATGTATTTGTACTTAAATGACCACAAAAGATTTCCAAGTGTGTATTTTTTTTTAGATTTACCATTAAACTGTAAATCACTTCCACTTATCAGCGCCCAAATGTAGCCTTCCATCATGTTCTGCATAACATCACGTTCTGCATAGCAGAACAAAGCACATTGTTCTGTATAGCAGAACATATTCTTTGGACTTGGGTAGCATCATTTAAAGTCCAGTATATCCTGGTGGATGCAAATGCCCAGGTTCTTCTTGAATTGATGAAGATGAGCATCAAGGATATGGACTTTAAGGGACATTGTGCAGCCCATAGGGCAAGGCCTCGGACTCCATAATGGTGGAGTTTAAGTATGAGGTAGTTGTGATTAACAGACAGTATCAAAGGCCTTTCAGAGGTCAACGAAGAGTCCAATCGGAAACTCATTTTTGTCAAGGGGCTGACTATCTCGAATTTTGACTATGTCAAGAAAAACTGACAGGGGCTGAGTATGTCGAATTTTACGAGGTAGGAGTAGAGCTGTTTGTAGATAATTTTTTCAAATATTTTTGATAGTATGGGTAGGTTTGATACTGGTCTATAATTGTTTATGTCTGCCGGATTGCCTCCTTTATGAACTGGCGTTACTCTTGCTTTTTTAAGGATATCAGGGAAGGTACGACACTCTAGAGATTTGTTGAACAGCAGAGCTTTGGGTGGCGCTAGGGCATGGGAGGCGCTCTTGTATACAATGGATGGTATTTCACTGATGTTCCCAGCTTTGGTTTTTAGTGAGTGTATGATGGACACAACATCTGTCGGGCTGACTGGTGAAAGAAGAGTGTTTGGATAGCTGCCTGAGAGATAAGTGTTGATATGTGTCTGAGTCCTAGGGATTTTTCTGGCAAGGTTAGCACCAACCGATGAAAAGGAGCTATTAAATTCATTTGCCATTTACAAATCAGTTGCAGGTGTATAGCCATCCTTTGATAGTTTTATCTGGTTATACGAGTGGTGTTAGTTCTTAGGATGTTAGAGATGTGCTTTTCATGTTGCCTTTTGCTTCTTTGAATCTATTCTCATAACGGAAAGTTTTGCTTTTCTTATGATACTGGTAAGCATTGATGAGTACCTTTTAACTACTGCCTTTGTAACTAGGCGATTCCTAAGTATCTTTTCATATTCATGTTTCTTGTTGATTGCTTTGAATATGCCACTTGTGAGTCAAGGATTATTTATACTTTGGCAGTAACTTGCTTGGCATACTTATGTCTTAGCATACTTACCTGGCACAGAAGACAAGGTAATCACGAAGGCGAGGCTCGCCACTACACTCCGGTGGCTCTGACCATTGTGATTAACCCAAAGGTGGTTAACTCGGGTGTTTTTTTTTTTTTTTTTTTTTTTTTTTTAGCGCGGGACTGCGTTCGCGCTGTACCCCTTTGTACTTGCCATGTGTTTGTCATATCGGTAAATGACACAACAGCTATTCTACTCTCATTTGCTTCATTAGCTAATATTCAAACCTCTCGCAAGGTCCTTTAGTCACAAATATGCACATATTTGGTGTGGTTTGATGTGTTAAGCATTATACCCATTCAAAATGTACAGTTCAGTACTTTATGTGTAAAACCTTTAATGTGTTACGGATGGGAGCCGTCCCAAATTCGTGTTCTCAATGTTAGGGACGAATTGGAAGCCTGAAACTATGCTTATTTGCAAGTTTCCCTTTGCTAATTAACCTTCGTCCCCACGATGCGAGTCAATTGCTCTACATGATCATGATCATGATCAATTGCGCTACATGATGCGCTACATAGGTGATCATGTAGTTAATTGCGTCTGCGAAATACAATGACAAGAAGGACAGACGACTCTAGGGGGGGGGGGGGTCATTACTCATATGGAAGAAAGTACTTGCAGCAGTGTCGAGCGAGCATTAGTTTGCCTGCCTCCCTTTCACGCTTCTGGCCAGGAAAAGCAATAATTTTTTAATTCAAAGTGTTTCCTCGTCCTATTTCGTTCAGAAGCTGATTACGAAATTCGCCTCGACAATCTTAATTTGTTTTTTGTTGTCCATTCCACTAGATTGCCTTGCCTCTTTGTTCACTGTCTTGTTATAAATATCTTGTATTTATAACACGATATGTGTGAAATATCTTGTACTTTGTTATCAGTGTGAGAAAGGAGAGTAAAAAAGGATTACAGAGGGCACAAAAGGTCTTTATCCGACTTCAACGGGGATTATTATATTAATAATTTCATCTATCCTTCAAACCTTGTAATTACAATGTCAGCTAGTTACAGAAAATGTTCAATTTCAAGAACTATATATTTACAGTAAGTCATTATACATTAATGGTAGGTCTTATCGCAAATACATAATCTAATACGCTAATACATAATCCGATCCTAGAGGCATTGTAATTCCAGGTCACCCACGACAAAGTTAGAGCAAGTCCTGACAGCTCTTCCCCCATGATCTAGAAACCGGTTAAATGTCAAGGACTCTACATAAGGATCGTATCAGACACTTGGCCGAGAAGCGATAAGAATCGTCAGCTGTTACAAATGTACGACGGCCAAATGTTGTCCGCATGCTACAAGTGTGTATATTTAAATAGGATTAAAAGTAACGATTGTGCATAAATGTAAGCGCATTCAGGTCACAGCTGAAAGGTCTCGGGTTCGTTTGCCGGGGCAGGACATGAGTGTTTGGGCAACGTTCCTTTTCACCCTGATGCTTTTGTTCACTTGGCAGTTAAGAGATACCTGGGAGTTAGACAGCTGCTACGGGCTGCTTCCTGGGGATGTGTATCAAAAAGGAGGCCTGGTCGAAGACCGTGCCGAGGGGACGATAATCCCCGAAATCATCTCAAGATAACCTCCCCTGGAATACCATCCGCCAATCGTTTAACAACAAGGTACACAATGCTAGATGAACATAGGAGTACAGTTAAGGATTGGCGCCAAGTCAATCCTCCCCGGCCACGACGCGAAACATTGTTCTATTGGTGAATAATACCTTGCGAGAATTACCTGTTTATTTTTCATACATATTTAGAAATACGTGACTCGCCAGCCAGCCACAATTGTCTTAGACCAAGAACTGTACTGTCAAAAATGCGTGTAAGATCTGTGCTGTCAACATTGCGTGCAAGAACTGTGCTGTCAACATTGCGTGCAAGAACTGTGCTGTCAAAATTGCGTGCAAGAACAGTGCTGTCAACATTACGTGCAAGAACTGTACTGTCAAAATTGCGTGTAAGAACTGTGCTGTCAACATTACGTGTAAGAACTGTGCTGTCAACATTGCGTGCAAGAATTGTGCTGCCAACATTGCGTGCAAGAACTGTGCTGTCAACATTACTTTCAAAAACTGTGCTGCCAACATTACGTGCAAGAATTGTGATGTCAACATTACGTGCAAGAACTGTGCTGTCAACATTACATGCATGAACTGTGCATTTTGCTTACCCCTCAATAGTTAGCGGAGGTGCTAGATGGCCTTGTTGTAGTTTGTCAAGAGCGGCAGGTTTGAAGCAGTCATAGACAGTCTTCGGTGGCGAGAAAGTAGTTTATGCCTGTATTGGTCTTGTTGTTTGTTGGTGCTATGTTAGTGGTTTTGTAGAATGTAGAGACAGTCAAAGGTGACAATCTGTGCCTCACCAGAGTACAGCATCCGCAGACAATGCACCATTCTGGCAGACTGATTGAGCTACTCTGTGTACTGTACTAGCCAATCACGGCAACATTGCAAATCGGTGCTCGGTGGGTGAATCTGAAGGCCAGGTACGAAACCTATCCCTGCCTCGTCTACGGAGCAAACACCGTACTGGTCCTCGGGGTTGCAACCCACAACAGTGTGGTTGACTCACACAATCACGAGGCTCCCCAGTGGTCGGCGTGTATAAAGAGGAAGAAGGTTTAGAAGAGGAGAGAGAGGGTGCGCCTACAGTCATGAAACATCCACAAAAGGTGATCTGCCAGCATCGCACCTCTCACGAAACAAAGAATGAAAACACAAAATATTGCGAATATTAGTCCCCCTGAAAAGCTGTATAGAAAACAATGACCGCGACGACCCAAGGAGTGTGGGAAGACGAACATGTAAATAGCATTTATTTCTTCTTAATTACAAATAGTCATAACCATGATGTAGCTCATATAATAATAAAATTTTATTAAAATTATGAAACTAAACCTAAATCTTTCAAAATGTTTTCTAGTTATTATATATATTTTGAAATTTCGTATAAAAAGTTTAATATTTTTATATCGTTTTTATTTTTTTTATTTATATAAAATTCTTATTTAGAGGAACTATCGTGTGTTCGTTTTAAAAAAATTTTGAGTATAAAATACAGAATTATAGAGATATGTTAATAACTATCTGAGCGGTCATCAGAAAATGGTGGTCGCTTGATTCTGTGACCTGAAGTAACAGTAGTCGGCAAGTAGAGGTCACTTTCCTATTGTGTACCCAATTCTGAGGCCATGCTCGTAGCTCGGGTGACCTCGGAAATCATATGGATGCTCGTATCCCGGGTGACCTCTGGGGCCATATGTATGCTCGTAGCTCGGGTGACCTTGGGGGTCATGTGTATGCTCGTAGCTCGGGTGACCTCGTGGGTCATATGTATGTTCGTATGCAGACGAGGAGTCACAATAACGTGGCTGAAATATGTTGACCAAACCACACAATATAAAGTGTAGGGACGACGACGTTTGAGAGAAGAACTCAAGAACCTGGAGAGAGAGAGAGAGGGAACCCTTCCTGGTGAGAGAGAGAGAGAGAGAGAGAGAGAACTCTTCCTGGGGAGAGAGAGTGAACTCTTCCTGGGGAGAGAGAGAGGGAACTCTAACTGGGGGGAGAGAGAGGGACCTTTTCCTGGGGAGAGTTAGTGTGGTTCTTGCTAGGGAGGTCGCCGGGGGGTGGGGTGGTGGCGGGGGTAAGCTGTAGGGTAACATTAAGGCCTGAAATTCGCTGCTCGTGTGCTTTTTCACGTTCCAGTTTAAGGAGTAAGTACCTGTCTCCTCGGTCATTATATTATCACAATAAAGTTGCCTGAGGTGGGAGTTCTATTGCTGGGATGTATGAAATATATTCACTTAATGAATGAATTGAAAAATATCATTATTTTCAAAACTTACATTCCTGGTCTGTCATTAATAACTGTAGCTGTGTGGATTGTTTAGTAAACATCTTTGGTGTATTTCTTGGATTAAATAATATCTCCCCTCCCCCCCCCCCACCCTCAGTTAATTGAGAGATACTTAATGAATTTATGATGATTAACGAAACGCTCAACGAATTCATGGATATCCACAACCAGGGAATATTGATAACCATTTCCTATATGGCAAGAAATAGAGAGTAAAGTTTATCAATATTCCCTGGTTGTGGATATTCATAAATTTGTTGAGCGTTTCGTTAATCATCATAAATTTGTTCTCTTGGATGGTAGAGCGACGGTCTTGCTTCATGCAGGACGGAGTTCAATCCCCGACCGTCCAGGTGGTTGGGCACGATTCCTCCCTCCCCCCCCCCCGTCCCATCCCTAATCCTTATCCTGATCCTTTCCAACTGCTATATAGTCGTAATGGCTGTGCTTTCCTCTGCTAGTTCCCTTTCCTTCCCTTCCTAATTAACTGCGTGCCGTGCGTTGATTTCGGGGCTCAACGTCCCCGCGGCCCGGTCCCTGACTCGGCGTAGACCACAGGGGGTTTGTACGTGCCCATAAGTACTTGTCCATCAGTACCTGCCCATCAGTGCTAATCAGTGACTACGGGAATGTAAGGTACACACATGCCTGAAATCCGCCTAAAGAGGACAGAAGACAGAAGCGGATTTCAGACAGAGATGTTTGGTGGATATTCTCGGTGGACTTCCCAAGAATTAACTTCGCTGTCTTCAACATGTGCGGGTTGATAAACGTCTCTCCAGTCATGTGTGGCTTTGTTTTGTTTGCTCGTTTGGCATTTTCCCATTAGACTCAAATGTGATGCCTGCATTGCTGCTGTGCTCTGTTGCCTAAAGCACTGACGTTTTAGACCAGCTTCCTGGTGCCGAAAGAACTCCAAATCTTTCTTATAATGTTGTGGATACTTTGTCTCTAAGTGACGTTTGAGTTTTGAATGTTTCAGAGATTCAACACCTAGGACAAATTGCACAAAACACATTGTGGCTTCTCGGTGCCATTGCTGGTCACTGTGGTGAAGCCAGGTTACAGATAATCTGAATATTTACTCTATTCTGCAATAGATATGAATTACTGTGAATATAAATTACTGTGAATATGAATTACTGATATAAGAAACAATATATACCAGATGTGCACAACATGAAGATAAAACAACCCTCCTTCTAATATATAGTAACACAATGTAACAATATTTGTTCCTGGGCAGTAAGTGATGTTTAGTAATTTCTAACGCCTCC